AAACCTTAAGCAATGCAACCGTCACATAACCTAACAAGCTAGTACGAAATGGCGATCGGGTTACGACCGATGCTTTCAAAAGCTTTTTACGGCTATAAAAACTAATATTTAAATTCGAAAATCGTACTATTTTATTAGGATTCAAATTATAATTGATGTGCTATTGAATAAAATTATTATTTATTGACGGTTTTCTTATTTTGCGATTAAAATGAAAAACTCCCGTAATAATGTACTATCCCAGAATAGTGTACATTTACCTTAACAGCCAAATTGTATGTTTTTCTATCAGTTATATTTATTGAGCAAACTTGAATATATGGGTCATTATTTACTAGTGTTCTTCTCGAGTATTTTATATTTTTCTCAATTAGAAAGGCGACCCCGCCGTGATTATCAATTCTATTATCAGTCTCTAAATTGTAATTTTTGAAATTGTATTTAACATTGTTTTTCAACCAAGTTTCTGACAAAGCCGCAATGTTTGTTTTGTTAATATACATATAATTTTCTATGCTCCTCTATTTGCGTTCAATGACCTGCAATTGAGTTGTAACAGTTTTATTTCACCCATTTTTATTTTTATATTTATTTATTATATAATGTTGACATTGCTTTCCATTTTTTATCACGTCTATTTCTTTTCCTTTGTACCCTTCTCCTTCACTTATCATTTCATCTATTATATTTATTATTCTTTCAGATGTTATTTTATATGTCTCATTCGTAATTTTCTTACCCTTATTGATGTTTTCTACAGATTATACGCCATTTACTTGATTTATATTTTCACTTTTTTCATTGCTTTCCGCTTTATTCTCTTCCCCTACTTCTTCTTTGCCATCCATCCTTTCGTTATTTTTGACTATATCTTCTTCACGTACTTTTTCTATTCTTTTGCTTGGTTCCGCTCTATCAGTTTTATTTATTTCAGTTTCTTTTTCCATATTTTTGCTGTTACTGTTTTTATTGTATTGTATTGTTATTGTCTCGGTATCCTAGCATTCTTTGATATAAATTCCGGAAAAGCATTTTCAATTTCTTTGCTATTGAAATTAAATTTAGTAGCTTTAACGTATGGCTTGTTGAATAAAATTTCGTATGCTTCTTTCTGTGATATACCTTTCATAACGGCCAATGTTTTTATGTTCATATTTTTTTCGTACTCCGGGCATAATTTGCTAGTTGCATAGTGCTCGTTTTTGCAAAATATACAGTTTGGCACTTCTGCCGAATTGCAGTCCCTGATGTGCGATCCTGTGCATCGACTACACCTAGCTTTGTCTTTACACTGATTGTTTACGTGGCCTATCTGAAGTAATTATAGCATTAAATAATTCTTGGTACATATAATTCTACCGGGCATTTAACATAGTGTAAAGATACTTTTTCAGGTAGCATAGTGCCTCTGAAAGTCAATATTATGTTTTCCCCTGTTTGTTTATAATTATCAGTATTATTTTTTTGGCATTGTGCGTTCAAAACTTCCAAGGAGCTTTCTATGCTTTCTAATAATTCTTTTTCAATTATTTCTCTATCTACGTTTCTTATTAATCCTCTCATTGAGATGTTTTGTAAAAGGATGTATGTTTTTAGGTTAATGTCTTTGAATATTTGATTATTTACTACAAAGTTTGTCCAATAGTGACTTTTAAATAATATCTTTATTCGACTTTTTCCAATGCTTTTAATTTCTTCTACTTCTTTACCTATTTCTGGGAATTTTCCATGTATTTTCCTGTCTAATGCCATTTCGTGAATTTTTCCAATGTTTTTATCGATGCTTTCAGCATACACATTGTATGCCTTATCTTCCTTACTATATCTGATACCATTCAAAACATGTAAAAAATTTTCTTATTTCTTGAGTTATCATTCCTTTCACTTTTTCCGGGAGTTGAATCATCATTTGTGCCTTCGCTAACTTTACTTTCTACTACGTTGGAGTTTCCTATCTTTCTTATATCTACAATATTTTGATCTATGATTTTTTCAGGCCGAATCCTTTTTATATTTGACACATCCCCTATAATTTGCAGGATGATTGCCTGAGCATTTTTGTTTTTGTTTATTTTGTCAGTCCAGGAACAGTCCTTAGTGTGGTGTTCTCATGCACATTTCACGCATCGCGGGTTACGTGAGCAGTAGTTACGGGTATGTCCTAGCTGTTGACAGTTTGTACATTGTGGGACTTGATGATAGTGCCGTTTTGCTTCAATAATTACCTTTGTTCTATTCAGATATTCGGCACTGAAGATATCTTTATTATTTTTGTTTGGTGCCAGCTCCACGACAAAAATGTTTAGTGGTCGTTTAGTTAAGTTGTGTGTCAGATTATAAAACCGTAGCAAGTTTTGTGGTGTCCAAGTTTGTTAATTTCTTCTTTTATCATTTCTACATGAGTAATGCAATGCAGATATTTAATCACGATTTTAAAAGATCGCTCTTGTTTTGATTTTAACTGGATCTATTCCGCAAATTTTTGTGTTGTATAACTTGGGTACGTGGCAGTCAAGGTATCGTATTATTGGCTTTATATCAGATACTCTGTGGAAAAATACAGGCAGGGAAGCTGGTATTTTTTCCGTTGGTTTAGATTAAGTTGGTACCGTTTGAAGTACATTGTAATAATTTTGCGTCGGCCAGTAGTAATTGTATGTTACCTTTTTTAATGGTACTAGAACTAGCCGCAAGGTCACTATGCGGCCTTCTTCTATTTATGGTGCTCCACCCCTGGTCGTGTGCATTAGCAGGTATGTTGTTTGTTGTTGTTGCTTACTGGTTTCACCGTTTGCATTACCGATACTCTCGTTTCTTGTTGAAACGGATTATTAAGTATATTGAGTTACAGTAGTACTATTGACATGATTTCCTTCGTTCTTAGCAATATCATCGGCGTTTGAATCATTGTTGTATTGTTGAAAATTATTTACGATATGATTTTCTACGAAAGCCGCATTCGTAGTAGAATTGTCTTGTAATATGTTTTGCGATTCAACAATATGATAGTTGTTATGTTGATATCCCTGGAGATTGGGACATAATTTTAATTTTGAAACACTATTTGATTTAAAATCAAAAAATGAATCGCACTTTAATATAGTATAATAATGGTGTTTTTAATCAAACTAGCATGTCTCGTTACGGAACATGCGTTCGGCTTGTGATGACTTAGCAATGCGGATATCACTACACTATACTGCAGGTAATCAAAAAATATTTATTTATTGATAACTTCCCATAGAATGTATTGTTAACTTCCCGTAGGGTAAGTTATAGTAATCGCAAAAATATCGAAAATAAACATTTTTATATATCTTTACGTTTCAGAGGTTTCTGAACATTTTGGCATACCTTAGAAAAAATTGATGTATGATCGTATGTGTGTGTATGTAGGTGTGTGTATGTAGGTGAGCGTATGTAGGTGTGTGTGTGTGGATACAAATTCGTCGACAATTTCGGGAACACGGTTCAAGCAAATTCAATTATTCAAAAAATATTCGATTGTTGTTGATAAGGAGACGCGCTGATTAGTTTTTGGCATAAGCAGGTCTAGTCGTTACGAAGATACGGAGCAAAAAGTGCCAAAAACGGTTTTTCAGTTTTTAAGAGAACGGAGAAGATGAAAAATGAATCAAATTTTCATGAAGGCAGGTCTAGCGGTTTCGGAGATCTAGTGAAAAATGCAAACGATCGGCAAGGTTATGGCGTCAGTTTTTTATATTCGCAAGGAATAATCTCCATCAACTATATTGAGAAAGGCCAGACGATCAACAATGACTATTGCATAACGATATTGAAGCATTTGAGATCAAAATCGAAAAAACAGCACCATTTAAAAAAGAAAACCATGCTGCTTCATCAGGACAACGCACCAAGTCACAAATCCGTGAAACCAGTCGCAAAAAAGCATTCATTGGGCTTCGACTTGCTTCCCCATCTATTATATTTTCTAGATCTATTCCCCAGCGACCATACCCTGTTCTCATTCACAAAAAGATGCTCGCTGTAAAGAAATTTTTGCCGAATAAAAAGATGATGGCCGAAGTTTGTGGCAAAGTACAAATCGTAATACAAAAATAATTTCAAAAAGTTCGAAGTTCGCTATGATCGGTACATCCGTCCTCGAAAAAAACTATATTGAATACAAAAAAAAGAATTATTCTAAAAGAAAAGGGGGTTTTTCTTAGTTATCCTATGGACTTATTGAGTAAAAATATATACAGATGTACCGAAAAGTCATTACCGGTTTGTCTAAACTTGTCTTTAGGCTTAAGTATGGTAATATAATATTGGACAAATATGCATTTTAGCCTACTGATATTAAAATTCAAAGCAATACACGAAATATTTTGCGCAAGTAACATCGTCATAGATTTATATCCCTTTGCAAGTGTTTTGCACTTTTTGCCCCGGATTTTCGAAACCGTTGGACCTGCTTTTGCCAAAAACTAATCAGCGCGTATCTTTAGTACTTCATGAATCATTCAAATCGGTTGATGCGTGATCTCGAAATCGTCGATAAAAAATTGTATTCTCACATGTGCACATATATAAACATACTGGTCTAGATTTGACCAGGGCTTTTCTATTTAACCCGGGACTCTTTAGGGTAGGGGATACAATGGTATGACTGTAACTTATAATAATTGAAGGGAGACTAGCAAATGTAATGGGAGAAAAGGTTGTAGAGTATATCAATATATATTATAAACTAAGTAGTGGTTTTATTCACATATCTTATGGTGATGGAATATTTATAATTTACAGTCCGCTTATATCTAATAAATCATTGTGATCCTCACCACATACAAACATCAATTTTTTAAAGTATGCCAATTGTTCAAAAAGAATTGTAACGTAAATTATCGCAAAAAATTACATTAATTTTGTTTTTGCGATTACTATAACTTAAACTATGGAAAGACAATATACAAGTAAGACAATATACAGTAAATAATCTCATTTTCGTACTTGTGTGTTAACATGTCAATACTAACCTGTCTAGATAGACGAACCAACTCAGTTAGCTTATCATGAATATTGCTAATGAAACAAGAATCTTTCCTAGCCCATTGTTTTAAAAAATCAGAATAACGTGGGTGTAACTTAGTACTTGTATTAGGATTCTTGATTTGCAAACCTAACATCATTCGCCTATTGCGTTCGGCCAGGCGACACTCTTCAGTACACTCCAATCTAAAAATATAATATAATAAAATATATAATATATAATTATGTTTCTTTATAATATATATATATATATATATATATATATATAAGGTAAACGTACACTATTCCGGGATAGTACATTATTACGGAAATTTTTCATTTTGATCGCAAAATAAGAAAACAGTCGGTGAATAATAATTTTAAACAATACCACATAAACTATAATTCGAATCTCATCAAATAAGCACGATTTTCCATTTTAAATATTAGTTTTTAAAACCATATAGAGCTTCTGAACGCATCAGTCATAACCCGATCGCCATTACGTACAGTCCTGTTGTTAGTTAGGTTAATGTGACGCTACAATTGCTTAAGATTTTTATGTGACACTGGTAAGCTTATTCAATATAAATTTGTGATATTATTGTTAAGAATTAATGAGTGATGAGTTTTATAGTTAAATCGAGCAAATATGTTTTAAGAAAGTGTCAATTTTGTGACTCCCGTAATTAAGTTCACACAATTGAGGCATTGAACGTAATTCCGTGAGTGTCACGCAATTAGGAAAAGTAGACCTGAATTATTTTAGTCTTTTATTCTCAATTATGCTTAAATTTAGTGGTGTTTTTGGTGTTACTAAGTTTGGTAATGACCACAGAATATTGTGACCTAATTACGGTATATGTTTTTATTTTTAACCCTAATAATTGAGCTTGAAATTACTACTCTTTAGCAAGAAAATATATAAAATATATAATATATTTTACTTATTTCCATTATTCCCATATATGTGGTGATATCAAGCAGGCTGGTTTTGGATTCGGTAAAAACAATCGGACATGTCATGTATATTTTTGATATCGAAATATTTTTATAGTTAATAAATTTATATTTTTTTATTGTTGGGAGTTTCTAATTTAATATATTGTCATAATCATTACTACTCCCACATTGGTGACTCACGACGATGGAGATGAAGATAAAGGAGTTTTATTTTTCGAAGATTTAAGAAAAATTGATTTTGACGCAGCACCATAATCACTGGTCTTCAGTGACGACCTATAAGGTATGTCCAGTCCAATCCATCATAGTTAACGCACTTACTATCTGGATCAGACTTCCGAGGTTACTCATTTGGTATACCCAGACCTCAGTGTTTTTTGCTGACAGAAAAAATAATTTGGAGCCTGAACTTTTCATTGGAATGCAATTCAACCTCTCTTTCTCTGTTAACTCAACAAATCGTCTTATAATGCTACCTCCCATTATCGGTGACAACGACGAATCAAAACAAAATTTGACATAATTTATTGGATTCCACAATTCTGGACTCTTATGTCAAAGAAATCAATGATCCTGATTTGGATAAAGAGCCAACTTCTTTCTCTGATCGGAACTCATCAGATACGAATGCAACGCTTGCAGAAATGGAAACTATACCCATAAATTATGCATTCTAAACATTAAGTTATTCTGATATAACTAATACCCATTAGATCGAGAACATTATGCAGAATATGGAGTTGATGGCAGGTCAAATCACCACATACGGTGGATCTGCTGACGAAACATGGAAATTTGTAATTGACCAGTATTACAACACTGGTCTGCTATAATCTGCTTTCCCACCACATTTTTATAACGTGTTTCCCTGTATTTTTTTTAAACTGTGAGATCAACACTGGGCAGGGAGTGTGTGGTGATATCAAGCAGGCTGGTTTTGGATTCGGTAAAAACAATCGGACATGTCATGTATATTTTTGATATCGAAATATTTTTATAGTTAATAAATTTATATTTTTTTATTGTTGTGAGTTTCTAATTTAATATATTGTCATAATCATTACTACTCCCACATATATATAAAATATGGTAGTAATGAGAGAATCAGATGTTTCTTTTATTTCATCTACGATAAATCATTTGTGTTATGTCAAAGCTTATAGAAATAGGGCAAAACCCGTAGTGCACTTGTTTTCTATCAATGACGCACGATATTTGTAGAGCACGAATCACCAGTGTGCGGGTATGTGTGTCTGTATGCAGCGAATTAGGGACATATTCGTAAATACGGTAGTTGTATGTATTTACGGTGTAAATGTATGCTTCGAGCGCTATCACGGAATAGTGTACAACTACTCCCGGCATTAAGTTCATGAACCGAATTTTATCACGGAATTAGAGACAAACGCGTGGTTCACCAAAATGCCGATTATTTCTATAAATGACGTTCCACGACGAAAAATCTTGTTTCATAATAATCTCAAAGGTCTAATTAATAAAATATAACAGATTTAGTTCGTCCACTTTCCTATTTTCTCTAAAATTCGTCTTTAAAGTCAAACGTTTCTTAACATCCCGTAATATGGTACGTTTACCTATATATATATATATATATATATATATATTAGAGCGGGTCGATTTGTATGGGTAACAAAAAGTCCCCCAATCTCTCGGGGGATGTCCGCGGGAGTGAATCATAGGCATGGGTGAATCAACCTTCCAAAGTTAGTTGGGGTCGGTCATACATTTGAATGTGAATAAGGCACTCTAAATGGCTCAAAATAGAATTTTTCAAAATTCAACCCCTATTTTAGAGTCGATGCACGAAACATGAAAATTCATTTTAGAGATATAGTTTCTTCGGAAAAAGTATTTTATTTTGATCCCTAGTATCCGAAAATCAAATGTGCCTAAGTGACTTTTAAATCGACCCGCCCATATATATATATATATATATATATATATATATATATATATATTTTAAAGTAACTAGCAGCCCATTCGTCGAAATAAAAAAGGTATAAAGTATTAAAAACTTTTATTTATACGTTTCGACACAAGATGCGTGTCATCATTCAGCAACTATAACAATTTGAAAATTTTATTTACTAATATAACACCAATATAGATTAATTATAACATAGAGAGACATTATACACACCACAGGACAAAAACACTCAAAAAATTTATTTTAAAAAATTAAAATTATAACATATTAGAAAAAAACATTTTTTTGGAAAAAATTATGAATAACTAAAAGATTTGAAAACTAATTTGACTAAAAGTTTTGAATTGTAACATTATGACGCATGAAACACGCCCATACCGAGCAAAAGACTCGACTGTAATCTTTCACTAGGCGTGTTGATAGGAATGGAAGGGGAATGTATCGAAGGACAAATGCAACGGAGTGGTTGAAATGGATTTTATCAAAAGGAAAATGCAAAACATGTAAAAGTTTGAACAAGAAAAAAACAATCTTGTAAAAAATAATATAAAGGAGATACCAAATTAATTTTTTGTTTTTTTTAATAAAATCAATAATTAGCTGGTAACTATCATGTAAAAGGTGGGATGAATTGCGTTTATTAACACAAGAGGAATTTAATGAAATAAAAAAGGATTCAGCAAATTTTCTAAGGTCACTATTTTTTTCGATATAAAGAATAACAGGATGTGAAGTGTTAAAAGTGTGATTGAGATTGAGCATATGATCTGAAAACATCGTTTTGATCTGGTTTGGATTTTTTGAATTATGAATATGTTGATTAACTCTCTTATAAATATACTGGGAACTTTCCCCAATATAACACATATTGCAATCATTGCAATCCAACCTGTAAACAGAATCGGTGATGCTATCAGACGGGGTTCCAGACTTAAGAAACGAAAAAAGACAATTAAAAATATTATCAAAACTAAAAACTAAACGGAATCCTTCTGAAGAAAATAACTTTTTTAAAAAATACGGAAAATTGCTTAAAAAAGGCAAACAAATAGTTCCTTTGTATTGGGAGGAAGAAGAAGCTATTGAATTTGAACAAGAAGGTGAAAATGAATTTTTAAAATTAGTTTGTAAATAAATTAATCTATTATTAATGATGTTGTTGACTAAGTGCAAAGGGTAACTATTATCTTTGAGAACAGAACGAATAAGGGTCTTTTTTTTCCAAAACATACTGTTACTCAGTAAAATAGCCCTGTCTATAAGAGAGATAATGACAGAAATTTTTATGGAACGCGAATGAAAAGACAAATAATTTAAATATCTTCCTGACCACGTTGGTTTTTGATACCAATCAGTCAGGACGGAATTGTTTACTTTATTTTTAGTGATTCTTAGGTCTAAAAAACTAATAGAGTCATCCGACTCAATCTCACAAGTGAACTGCAAATGTTTATTAAAAGAATTAAAAGAGTAATGTGTCAACAATGTGAGAATCGTCAAGGCACAACAGAACGCCATCAACATATCTATAATAAAGGTGAGGTGGAACAGAAAGATTAGTTAAAACAAAATTTTCTAAAATTTGTAGTGTATATATATAGATATATATACAGTGGTGTTGTGCTAATATTTTTTCGCCGGAACGCTAAAATTTAAAAATCGGTTCATAAACCGATTCAAAATCCGGTTCTCATGTTTGTTCCGGTTCCGTTCGAAAAGAATAGAAACAAAAATTATTACAAAACCCATTTTGTGCACATATATGTATGTTCATTACAATAATAGGAACATTTAATAAAAATTAGTTGAATTATAATTTATAAAATTCACTTATTAAATCATTTTCTGTATGTAGAGACTGTTAAATTTTTTCTTGCCGGCGCATTCCGGCTCGACAACACCACTGTATATATATATATATATATATATATATATATAAAGTAAGAGGTTTTTCTTCAAATGGTGATATACAGGGTCCGGCACTCGAAGTGTTCAGTTCGGAAAATTACTTTTACTCGATTTAAAGTACAATTTTTTTTTTTTTTTGCATACTTTTATTGTCAATCAAAATTAAATACATTTTTTAAGACAATGTGATGTTGGTTTTAATGCATATAAGAGATTATCTCCTATGAGATATCTCTCTTTTATATTTTTATTTTTGACATTTATTTAAGGTCGAATGGCCATTTTTTTTCAATCTGCGTGTCGGATATTCCTCGCTTAACTCTTTTAAATAAGTGTTTGGGTGACCTGGTAGTTTTTCATGGTATCTTTTGCTCCTTTCTTTTAACAT